TGCCTCTCAGTATGTTGCAGCTGATAGTGAATGGTGTCATAAATATTGTTGAGTTGAAGCTGACAATAGAATTTGAGGCAAAGCCATGAGTTGTGCACATAAATAACTCCATAGGTCCTACTACAGAAGAGACAAGCTGCTGTTGCCTGTGATAGCTAGTTTCATGCCTACATCATACTACACAGTAGTATGAGCTCCCTATGTGTAAAATGATGTTCTGGAATGCAAAGATGGAAATTTATAAGAATTCCATTCATAGGTCAAATCATGTGTTCTTCAAAAAGACACCTTTGAGTAGGTAGATATCATCAACAGGTCAACTGACACTGATTAATGTTTAGCGGAAAGGGTGCTCTGGAGTAAACATTGTCTTGTTGCTCAGTTGTTACTTGACAACTGGAAGAGATCCTAAAAGGCTGACAATTATGTAACCTTCCCATCGACAGAAAAGACAATGAGCAAGTAGCTGCCGGATTAGGCATTCTTCTTACAACCCCTATGCACTTTTTGAGGAAGGGGTCTTAATGCTCTGAGCTCAAGAGCTCATTGGCATCCAAAATCCTAATACTGAAAAACTCAGAAAAAGTCTGAAGAGAAAATATAATTTGATGATTTGATGAGAAAAAGATGAAAAAAGAAATGTTGTTATTTCACAAATTAAAGCCAAAAATATGGAAAGGTTCCAAGATGAGAAAAGGAACAGAAGTCCTGCCTAAACACGCATATTGGGGTGGAGTTCCCACCTAAAATGCTTTGCTCAGCTCGGAAAGAGAGGGCCTGTGCAGATGCAGAACAACTGATATGTGTGAGTCACTGAGACAACGAAGAAAAGCTGATTTTCACTGTAAAAGGCAAATGCTGCTCTTTTATACAATTTCACCAATTCTCTCCTGTATACACAGAGGACCTTTTCATCAGCCACTAAACAAGCTGTTGGAATTTTAAAACCATCTAAAGATCTATTTCTTCCAGCTGGATTACCCAGCCAGTTTTAAGCATGGATTTTACACTTGTGTTCTGCGTTTTAATCTTGGATCTATGTATTTTAATATGTTGGGGCTGTGGTGGTGCCACAGGTTAAACCGTTAAACTGTTGAATCTGCTGACCTATTGGCTGTTTAAAGCTATGGATTGAGGTGATCTCCCGCTGTTAGCCCTAGCTCAGGGGTAGGGAACCTTTGGCCCTCCAGCTGTGGTGGACTTCAACTCCCACAATTCCTTGAGGCTCGGCATTGGGCCAAGGTAAGCCTTTGGGGCGAATGCCGAGCCTCAAGGAATTGTGGGAGTTGAAGTCCACCACAGCTGGAGGGCCAAAGGTTCCCTACCCCTGCCCTAGCTCCTGCTAACCTAGCAGTTCAAAAATATGCAAATGTGAGTAGATCAATAGGTACCACTTTGATGGGAAGATAATAAAAGTGCCTATGCAATCATGCTGGTAAACACAACCAGGAGATGCCTACGGACAACAGGCACCTTGGCTTGGAAATGGAACAAGAGCACCTCCCCATGGCCAGAGTTGAGCACCACCTCCAGAAAGCCAGAGATGGAAGGAGAAGTCTTTACCTTTGTTCTGTGTATTTGTATGTCATTGTTATTCCACTGTATTAAAGGCATTGAATGTTTGTCTATCTGTGTATGTTGTAATCCGCTTTGAGTCCCCTCGGAGAGATAGAGTATATTAAATAAAGTATATTATTATTATTATTATTATTATTATTATTATTATTATTATTTTATACAGATATATTTTAATATGTAACTTTTATAGAAATTCAGTTAAATATGTATATTTGTAGAATCTTTGCAATGTTTATGTGTTTTAACTATGCTGTAACCCACTAAGAGCCACAAGGAGAAGCGGGTAAGAAATAAAATAATTACTATGCAACTCCCTTTAAACATCTATATCTTCTCCTTTCAAATTAATCTCTTCCTTAATTTAATTCTCTTGATCTTTATTCCCAAGCAGTCTGAATAGTCACTCAAATTCCCTCTAAATTTGAACTCTTTCTAACTGCCATTTTTAGATTGTAAGCCTTGGGACTAGGAATCTGCCTTCGTTGCTTATGTAACTGTTAGCTACCATATACGTTGATGGAATTGTATAAGTAAAGCAACAATATTCATTTAATCTTTGCGCTTAGTGCTACTTTTTTTTATCAAAACTTGGCAACATTTCCTCATGTCAGAAAATGAGTTAATTGTAATGACCTGGGTCTCATATGTCTAACATTAGTAGTCATAATATAAAAAGCACACAAGCCATTGTGAGTGCCATTTTTGGCATAAGAATACGGTTTAATTAGTCAAAGTATGTTCTACACCGCAACAGCTGAGTAGTTTGACTTTCTCTCATTTCTAGTCATTTCCGTTTCATATTATGTAGTTCTGGTTCCTTTTGCTCTTTTTGCATCGTGTTGTACCACATTATAATTTCTAACACATGATTTAAACTGCAACAGAGGAGTTATAAATAATTTCTGATGTCCTAATGATGTCATTACCCATTTATCTGTTGTAAAATTACTTTTCTATGGCAACAGGAGAGAGCAACAATAATCAGATCCAGCAACATGAACATCAACAATAGATTAACAATCTGATATAGTCATATTAAGAAAAAGGTCTGTATAAGTCTTCAGTTTTATCTTGGTCTTCATCCTTCATGAACAGTGAAAAATGGACTGAAGTCGTCCCTTGTCTGTGAATTAATTATTTCCATTAACTTACCTCATCTCACTCTGCTCACTGGCATTTTCAGCAAGATACTTACCCTCTTCATTGTGAACAGCTTAACACCAAACACAAAACATAGAAATGACAGAGAAGCAACTCCAAAGAGATGTGAGATCACTATCAGGCATGAATCAAATCATCTTCCCTTCATTAAAAGAGATTGCCAATTCAATCTAGGTTGTGAAACTATAGTTTGTCCCTGTTACAGTAATTTGGATTTACAAGATATTAATTTGGAATTAAGAATATGAATAATGTAACAACACTCCATCAGTGTAAAACAATTAACAAAACAATTTACTTGACAGAATGTGTGGAGGGAAATTGGAGTCTTACTTGTTTCAAGTTACATTTCTCCCCCAAATCCAAATGTGCTTTAACAAACACTTCAGGTAACTGGGGCACCTAACAACGGTGCAGAAATCTCAACAGCATGGTTCACTGTGCTCAAATCCTGAAATCCCAATAGTGTTTTTTAAAATCCAGTTTTATAGAAAATGTTTTTGTTATTGCAAATACTGGTTACCGCGTTTAAACTGTTATGCTAAATAATGTTGGAGATCTTTCTTGTTCCAATGTGAATCATGCCACTGCTTTGCATATATCACATGCTCTGGAAAGGTGTTCCCACAATGAGACAAAATAGTAATAACATGTTTATTAAAAATAACACATACAACACACAACTAGGAAAAAAACATTGACATGCAAAGGCCACATTAGAAAGGGAAAGACGGTCAAACCTCACACAGAAGCAAGATGCAAGAGTGATCATGGGAAACTTTTCTACTGGTAAATAAAGCCGATTCTCACCGTTCTGAACAAAATGGCTGAACTAAGAGCATCTGATTGGCTATGCCCAAATACCCTCCTCCTCATCCTATTGGTTGAGAGAAGACAAGGGGAAAGCCCCAGAGCAGCATGGGAATGAAATAAAGATTTGATTAGTATTTAAACTCTACAAAAGAATAACATGGAAGTGGTTAAGGAAACAATAACTTTGATTTCCTCTTTATTCTGTTATCTTCACATTATCCTGAATCACACTAGTTATCTTTAGATAACTTACATTTATTTTACTTAAATATGCTGAATATCAAGCATATTTGATAAACTATTTCACATTTCACCTTCATCTCATTTAGTCATTGCCTTCTATTGCAATCATACTACACATAAGGGAAGTACCCTAACTTCCTTTCAGTGTGTAAAATAAATATCCTTCCATTCCCCAGGAAATGAAATTGAGAACTGCCGTATATTGCTTTAATCTGTTACTTCAATATTCTCCATCCTAAGAGGCATTATGGCTGACCCCTCCAAAGAACAATCCAAAAAGTTCAATCTACTGATTGGTTTCTTCTTAATTTTAAAGCTCAGCATGACAGGAAGTGGGTGGGAAAATAGGTTTATAAGTGACTGTTACTTCCAAGTTTTTATTTTACCACTTGTTATACTTTACCCAAACAAAGACATGTTCATGACAAGCCATGCCTCCCATAACTTTCCCCTTAATCTCATCTAGGAAAATGGATGGATCATATTGTATCCCATTTTTTATTTCATCCAATAATAAATCCAATGTACAGAGCGATATGTATATACATGAAATATGATATGGAGCCTATAAATCCAAAATATGCTAGTTTTTAGAATTACAAGGATGCTGAGAAAGCTGTGAGCGATTTCCTTTGGGCTAAGAAGTAATAAATGAAGGTATACTACTGATTTATCTAAATTGGCATATTCTGTAATACTAATAAAGGTTTTCCAGTTATGCACAACTTATAGCATTCATTACCTTCCAAAGCATGTCTCAATTCAATCAGCCATATAGATCTAAACCAGCATTAGAAATGGTAAACTGACTTCATTTTAGGTCAAGCTTCACTGAACTTGTGAGAAACAGAATGTGATCATTTAGCATAGATGCTAGGATTTCCACAGGGGAAATGTACTGCATTGCTCACTTATTGTAAAGCCACAAGGCTGGACGACACTTGGTTAAATCACAGAAGTCTTCATAGAAACAAGCAGTTTAAAATGCACTTCAAATATATTAGTATGAGAACAATAGTTTCAAACATTGCTAGCAAAACTCCTTGATACAGCAACATGAAAGAATTTCATGGGAATTCTTCAACGAAGTCTGTGTGATAACTACAAGCCAGTTTTGAATTCCAGTTTGGAATATATTCAACATGTTCACACTTCTAAAAATGACAAACACTTCAAAAAAGAAAAAGAAAGGAAAATCTTCTTACCTGATCTGGAGAGGGTTTATGGTTAGTTTGGTTGGAATGAGATGATGATTTGAGATGATCATCGTCATAATTATCTGCCATCAATTTCATGCGGTTTTGAGTCTGCAACAGATACAAACTTTAGTCATTCAGTCGTGAATTTATTAAATGTGTACTACACATTAAAGACATCATTTGATACGAGCAAAAACACTATACCATATTTTGAATATTTTGTTCTTATTCATACAAACTCAGAGAAAAGTTCTAGTCATTTGAACAAACCAGTGGACACATCTGCAAATGTTGATAAGAAAATGGAATGTTGGGTTGGATATTATCTGATACCATCCCTCATATTGTTGGCAGGATTAGGTAGGTTTGGAATTACTGGCATGCAGATTAGATTGGGATGAACAATGAATTAGTATTAGAATTAATTTAGATTAGCTTCAGGGATAAGAAATGGTTAAAGACAAAATAAATAAAGGCACATATGAACATGGCTTCCATTTCATAGACTTTGCATCAAGTTAACCATAAGCACTTTTAAAAGGAGTTTGGGATGCCTGTCTCTTTGCGTTTGTGTGTTTTGGTGAGTTCAACCAGATAAATTAGACAGACTTACAGGCTATGTATATTCTACAGAGTTCTGTAAAGTATCTTTGTCTCTTTATAGATGACAGCCTTAAGAAGCATTAGTAATTACAAATAAACCATATAATTTAAAAAATATACCTAAAAAGCAGAAAATTAATTAGAACATATAACTGATTGGATAAAAGAGGCTGGAAAACTGGGTATTCTACCAAACAAACAACATAATTTTATCTTAACATTACTCTATTTTGGCAATATAATAAAATATATTGCGGCATTATATAGTTATAAAGTATGTTTGGAGCTGTAGCAAAATCTAAAGCACATAGATTGTATGTGTATAGTCCAATAGGACAAAAGTGATAGAGTCCACATTGAAGTGACATAAAAATTATTGGAGAAATATTTTACGGATAACTTAAAATTATAATTAAATTGGATTTATAGTTATGGTAAAATTGGAAATTCAAACACTCTGGCAATGAGTAATTGAGCTCTTAAGGCTTTGAATAAGGCATTTGTACATGTTTTTCAGTACAAATATGTACAAATGCCTTACTCAACTTGAGCTTGATTTTAGCTCAGACTTTAGCAAAATTGTCAAATTAAATTTAAGGGTTTGTATCACTGCTAATAGTTGTGATTTTCTTTGCTTCATTCTTTATATCTTTTGTTACATGACCCTAAGTTTTATTCTCGATTTATCCACTGATCACAGCAAATCTTGTAAATTTGGGGGCCAAAATCTGCTTTCAACTTATCCACAAGATCAAGTTATACTTGACTATGTACAGTAACTTCCAGCCTTCAGTGGGAGAGCTTGACCACTTCTGAACAGGGGGGTACTAAGATTGAGAGCATCGAAGGACATGAATGTATTAAAAATATTTATCCTTTTGCTAACTGTTATTCTAGCATTGCAATCTAATCAAAAGATTTCACTGAAAATTGAGCTTTTAGGGAAAAGATTCAGCCAATAAAATAATGTACTATAATAATCAAACAAGTCAATCCTGCTACTATAATCTTTGTAAGCATGTACACATTGTTTAAACTTGTACAATTTAAAGCATCTAAAGTGCCTTAAATGCAATTACTCTTCACAATGGTTCAACACATCATCTAATTAAGAAATGGAGAGGACTTCTAAGCACACATGCATGAATCTTAATATCTAGGGGGATGCTGGAATAATAATGAATAGGACTATACCAGACATCGGCTTCGTTATACCTCAAGTTTTGTAGATATGCATTTTTGAGAGGATTATGCGTGTGACCCTGAATCTTCCAACAATTGCCATGGCCTGGAAGGTATGGCAGAGCTACCAAAGTAGTCAGAACTACCAAAGTTACCTATCCCAATATAGGGATACAATGGCCTAAATCAGAAAAAACAATCCTTGTCCAATAAATAATGACAGAGACCCAGCAATAAGCCACATATTCTCAAATTTCTCAGACTTTGGGGAATACGATATGTCTTTTTTAAACCAGTTTCTATGAGGACTGAACAAGTAAAATGGTTTAAGGGTTGCTACCAAACCAGAAGAGTATTTGATTCTAATTTGATAACCTAATTCAGAGAAAACCTTCAAATCAGTTTCCTACAATAGAAATCACATGAAATGATGGCTTAGGTATTTAAGAGGGAAAAAGCCTTAAAACTAAAGTATTTTTAAAGCTGCCCCCCTCCAAAAGAAAGAAAATAATATATGTAGTTAAAGGCATGTACAAAGGAGGCAGGAGCGGTTGAACATGGGTCAGAAATGTTTAAATATTGAATTAGGATAATCAAATGTAGAGTGGGTCAATATTAAAGATAACAGTATGTGACAGCCATCTACACTGACCTACGTTAGAACCCAGACTTGCTACTAAAGACTAAATATTGCATTATTATTGCTGTCTTTGGTTAGTTTATATTATGACTATAGGCCTACTGCAAATATCCCTCAAGCATTACATACTAATCATCTTAAGTGATATGTTCTTTTGATCTTGAATTACTGTTTGTTGCATCACCAGACACTTAAACAGCATGAAATAAAACATTGTGGTAAACATTCTCAGACTTTAGTCCTTGTTTACAGAATTGGGAAATAAAAGGAAAAACACCTGCCCTTCCTCATGCCTGGATCTCTTAGATGTGGTAACATGATGTCCAAGAAAACACACCACTGAAAGAACTAGTCATGAACCCTTATTTTATGAGGTACAGCTGAGGAAAGGGACCACTTATATTACTCTATATATCCTATGTGTGTAAGTTTAGACAATTTAGTCAAAAAATTAACCCAAAACAGTTGGGTAGACATATTCACAGGTCAATTTGAGTACTGTACCTTAACACTTATGCAAAAAGGAAACCATGCCCTTCTCTGAGTAGTGTAGCAAAAGGCAAGAGATTAGATGATCATGGGAGATCATCTAATCTCCCCCTCTAAAAAAAAACAAAAAAAACCCCAAACATATTTTAATAAGGTGGAACATGTGTTTTGAGTAGCTGACAGTCTTCATTTTTTTACCCAAAAATTAGGAAACAAAAAGTTGAAAGGGAATAACAGTTGTTCTTGTTGTTAATATTATGCTTATTATTTGGGGAAAGATATGGCAAAGATAAGTTAATGGCATTGTAGGAAGTTTTTTTACACTAATAGCAAAATTGTTTCTGTCAAGAGCAACACTTCTCAATGAAGGGCCATTCTTTATGTCAACCATTCCACAAAAAATATAAAAAATAGAGCACACCACAGCAGTGCTGCAATTGTTGGTAATAAAATTTATTAAGAGAATTTCAATAGTTTCTAGTACTGCCTTTTCTTTCCTTTCTATAAGTTTCATTGGCTCTGGATAGTCTCAAATGATAATCGTAGTTTTTCCATGGTGTACTTTTTCAAAACTAGGTCCCTTGCATCCTTAAAGATCAATACACCCACTTGGGTCTTTCCTAGACAGAATCAGAAAGCATGCCCTTGCTGTTATTCCACATCTAACTATTCTGTCTCTCAGACAGCCACAGCCCTGGGAACCATCCCTCCATGTTTGCCTTGGAAGCATTTCCAGAGGCTGTTTCTCAACTGAGCTTGTATTTGACAAATGCTTTATCTTTGAATGTGCAATTATCACTCTCAGGAATACTTTGAAAAAAGTGATTCCAGAGGTAATAGCTATGGTTGGGGTTCTGAGTTGCTATGTTTTACCTGTCCCTGCTTTTATCCCTTTGGGAAGTTATTTCTTTGAGTGCAAGTCTCCAGTAAAGTCTCTCTTTCCTGTGTGCCAATGCTGTCCTGGCTGTAAAGCAACTGATTACATATTTTCACCTTCATAAAGAAGGCAGTTTGCTATTTTGGTAAATAAGAAATTGTTTCTGTGAAGTTTCAGGTTACAGCTGTCGTCCTGTTTTTCTCTGCTTGGGCAGTGACTAGGATTTTTCTCATCCAAATATTCCCACCAGCTTTTCCGTATCATATTTTGACTAGAAGGACATGGGACTTTCTAAAAACCCCAACAAATTACTGTGGCTGTGCCAAAAGAAAGAAAGAAAGAAAGAAAGAAAGAAAGAAAGAAAGAAAGAAAGAAAGAAGAAAGCCAACTTCCAACAAGCAATTGTAATAGACCATTTTTGTCTTTAAAATAACCCTATTTATTAAAGGTGGCTGAAACTCAGATAAATTTAAAAAAAATATTTTTGTAGGGTCATTCTATGTCAATTCTGAAATAAAACATGACACTAGGGACCACCATGTGCCATCTAACTGGATGAAGCTTAAAGGGGGGGGGGGGGGGTTGGCAGAATTAGAAAATGTACAACAACAACAACAACAACAACAACTTTATTTCTAACCTGGCATCTCTCCCTGTAAGGGACTCAGGGTGGCTTCCAAAAAACAGAATGGCAAGCATTCAATGTCAAATGATCTCATTTTGTCTAATATGTAAGAAATAGTTTATCAAGCCTAAACTCAAAATTGATCTAAGTTCTGCAGATGCATAGTGCAGGTTATGGGGCAAAATAGGATACTGCTAAAACTCAGAAGTAAAAGTACATCAATTTAAAGTTGGAAAATTACATAGAATTGTGTGTAAATAGGTGGGAAGAAAAGTTCAGTGGTACTGAATTTGAAGTACCAGCAAAATAACTTTGCCCATGCATACACAGTATGTAAAAAGGAGTCCAGATGAGAATGAAGGGTGGCTAGAGCATCACTTTTGGAATACAACTCAAAGGATTTCATATAAGTCTGACTTTGTGGAAGTGCCCTAGAAGATAAAATGTCTATAAACATGAGTGATGTGTTCTATAGACTACTCTATCAATCCATAAAAGCAACCATTGTCCTGACTCAGCTGCCTGCTTTACATTTCTGTGGAATAACTTTCTTACTTTTCCTTCTGCACCAATGAAGAAAGAGGAAAAGAGCAAAGAATATATGCCCCTTCGACTACCATTCTTGCTTTCCTTTTCCCTCATGTTTTAAGGTCAACAACAAAGCTGTGTCTGTCAAACTGAAAACCTCCCTT